TTTGAGGTGAAGCCTACAGCCGGAGACACCTACTTGGGTGGAGAAGATTTTAATAACCAAATGATCAACCATTTTATTGCTGAGTTCAAGCACAAACATAAGTGAGAACAAGAGAGCAGTAAGACACCTCCATACTGCTTGTGAGTGTGCTCAGTGTACTCTCTCTTCCAGCACCCAGGCCAATATTGAGATCAATTCTCTCTAGGAAGGAATCGACTTCTGTACCTCCATTACCCATACCCAATTTGAAAAATTGAATGCTGACCTGTTCCATGGCACCCTAGACTCCAAAGAGAAGGCCCTTCAAGATGCCAAACTAGACAAGTCACAGATTCATGATACTGTCCTGGTTGGTGGTTCTACTCACATCCCCAAGATTCAGAAGACTCTCCAAGACTTCTTCAATGGAAAAGAACTGAATAAGAGCATCAACCCTGATGAAGCTGTTACTTATGGTGCAGCTGTCCGGGCCACCATCCTGTCTGGAGACAAGTCTGAAAATGTTCAAGATTTGCTGCTTTTGATGTCACTCCTCTTTCCCTTGGTATTGAAACTGCTGGTGGAGTAATGACTGTCCTCCTCAAGTGTAATACTACCATTCCTACCAAGCAGACACAGACCTTCACTAGCTATTCTGACAACCAGCCTGGTGTGCTTATTCAGGTTTATGAAGGTGAGCGTGCCATGACCAAGGATAACAACCTGCCTGGCAAGCTTGAACTCACAGGCATACCTCCTGCGCCCCAATGTGTTCCTCAGATTGAAGTCACTTTTGACATTGATGCCAATGGCATCCTCAATATGTCTGCTGTGGACGAGAGTACAGGAAAAGAGAACAAGATTACTATCACTAATGACAAGGGCTGTTTGAGCAAGGAAGACATTGAACGTATGGTCCAGGAAGCTGAGAAGTACAAAGCTGAAGATGAGAAGCAGAGGGACAAAGTATCATCTAAGAGTTCACTTGAGTCCTGTGCATTCAACATGAAAGCAACTGTCAAAGATGAGAAACTTCAATGCAAGATTAACGATGAGGACAAACAGAAGATTCTGGACAAGTGTAATGAAATTATCAGCTGGCTCAGTAAGAATCAGACTGCTGAGAAGGAAGAATTTGAACATCAGCAGAAAGAGCTGGAGGAAGTCTGCAACCCCATCATCACCAAGCTGTACCAGAGTGCAGGAGGCATGCCAGGAGGAATGCCTGGGGATTCCCTGGTGGTGGAGCTCCTCCCTCTGGTGGTGCTTCCTCAGGGCCCACCATTGAAGAGGTTGATTAAGCCAACCCAAGTATAGATGTAGCATTGTTCCACACATGTAAAACACTGAAGGACCTAAATTTGTAGCAAATTCTGTGGCAGTTTTAAAAAGTTCAGCTGCTATAGTAAGTTACTGGGCATTCTCAATACTTGAATATGGAACATATGCACATGGGAAGGAAATAACATTGCACTTTATAAACACTGTATTGTAAGTGGAAAATGCAATGTCTTAAATAAAACTATTTAAAATTGGCACACAGAAAAAGAGTAAGTACGGCAGTAGAATAAGAAAGAGTCTTGTGTTCACTTTACAGTTTTCTCAAATAATTTGAATAATATGAACATTTTCCTATTTGAAAGGTGAAAGAACTACATTCAGTACTGAATAGTTAATTATACTGGCATTATTAGTAAATAATCTTTGATTTGGTTGAGAGTTATTGGATAAACATTTTATAATGGTTGATAGTCAGCCAATATTACTTATAAGTTCATTATATATTTACAACTTGAAGTGCATGTTCCAAGCTAGATTAATATAATGTTGAGACTTGACCTACCCAGCTACATCATTTATGTTTTTTCTACGCGTTCACTACCTATAGGTTTTCAAGGGAGCCAAAATCACTAGGACTGTAATTTAGAGGATTGAGAGCCCTAAATTTGCATTACTTTCTTATTTCTAAATATTAACTTTCATACTCACCTGCCTGTCTGGTATTTTGTATTGTTCTAAGCCATTTTTTGCCTGTCACTCAAGAATGCCCTCTTTTCTGATTATGGGGAAAAAAACATTTTTAAGGTATATTTATTTCATTTCCCCTCACCATGGCTTCTAGAGTAAAGCTGTTTCATCAGCTTTTTAATGACAATGTGCTGACTACTTACTGAAATAGTCTGTATTTGTACTCTACTAATAACTTTTAAAAATACAAGTAATTGTTGCCTTGCCTCACGTCTTTTAAGTTTTTATTTCTCAATTTTTTCTCATAGTCCAACGGTGGTCATGCCCTGGGTATAGATTTGATGTCACCGTCTTTTCTGGTAACTGCTGTTATATTCTCATATATGCCATTCACATGTGCTTTGAATAAGCTCTTGTATAAATCATGATATATACTGGTTGACTAAAAAAAAATTAATCAAGAATTAAAATAAGTATAAAGCAATTTCATATATGGGGGTGAATCTTTTCATTTATTTCCCAAGAAGTTAGAGAAGGGAGTTCAACTCCAACCTCTTTTTCACTTCAGAAAACAAAATTCAATTTACTGAGTATTGGTTAAGTATATGTTTATTCATTTATTCTTTCAGCTAATACAATTCATTACATACCTACTGTGCACCAGGTATTATACAGCATCAACTGGAAACTTATTCAAAGTGCAAATTCTTGGTCCCACCCTAAGCTTACTGAGTCAGAAAGACTGGGGATAAGGCCCAGCAATCTGTTTTATTTATATGATTCTGATGCATTTTTAAGTTGGAAAACCACTGGGTTAGCTATTCTTCTGATTATAAATTCATTTAGCAAAAATTGAGTGTCAGTTTTGTGCCAGGCACTATGAACAAAACAGATGTGGTCCTTACCGTCATAAAGCTTACAGTTTAGGAAGACTGACCTCTAGTTAAATTTATTTGGTTTAAATCAAAGACTCATAATGGCCTATGAGTTCAGATCTCTCAAGCTGAAGAGATTTAGGCTAGACAATAACCAAACAAAAAATAGAAACTATTGGAAACAATATTAGTATTTTGGTTAACCATAATCAAATATCCTGTAATGAACTAAGACTTCTCCAACTCTGTCATATCCACATTAACATAGGACAAGGGTATAGAAGAAAATTTAAAAACTCAAAATGATTGATATTTGGCTTTGGAAAACAGTCTGAATTGTACTTTATCAGAGATCTATACCCTTTCTGGTTTGACCTCACAATCAACAGCCTAGGATCTTGGTGGTATAAACAAGACAATGAAGATAAATTAAATGGCAGTTCATCTACTCAACAAATCAGTGTGATAGTCACTTGCCAATAAAAGTGTTTAGGGGCTCCTTTCTCTCAACCATTGCACTGGTTGGTGATTTAGGCATTTGACCCAAATTAAGATGTGAAAAGTTCTTTTCTCAGAAAATATTTCTATTATCTTCTATCTTATATTTATTTCTCAATTTAAACTGTTAACCACTTTGCCCAGTGTATTTTATCCTTTACTTAGTATAATTTTTTCAAAGTTCATTATGTTTTAGCATGTATCAAAAGTTTTTTTTTTCATTGCTGAATAATATCCTATTAAATTAATGTACCATATTTTTTATCCATTCATCAGTTGATGGACACCTAGATTGTTTCCACTTTTTGGCTACTATGAATAATTCTACAATGAACCTTCATGTACAAGTTTTTGTATGGAAAAAATGTTTTCACTTCTCTTGGATATATATCTATGAGTGGAAGTGCTGGGTAATATGGTAACTATGTTTCTCACTCTGAAGAACTCCCAGACATTTCCAAAGGGGCTGCACCATTTTACATTTCCACCAGTAATGTATGAGAGTCCCAATTTCTTCACATCTTTGCCAACCCTTACAATTGTCTATCTATCTTTTTTATTATAGCCATCCTAGTGGGTGTGAACTGGTATCTCATTGTGGTTTTGATTTGCATTTCCCTAGTAGATAATAATAAGTGTCTTTTCTTCTACCCAGTGGCCATTTGTTTATCTTCTTTAGAGAAATATCAATTAATATTGGTGCCTATTTTATTTTTTTTTGTCTTTTTATTGTTGAGTTGCAAGGATTCTTTATATATTCTGGATACAAGTCCCTTTTAAGATATGTAATTTGCAAATATTTTCTCCCATCCTTTGGGTTATCTTTTCACTCTCTTAATGGTATTCTTTGAACAACAAAAGTTTTAAATTTTGACAAGGTCCAGTTTGTCTATTTTTTCTGTTGTTACTCATGATGTTTTGGGTATCATATCTAAGAAGGCTTTGCCTAACCCAAGGTCACAAAGATTTATCCTATTTTTTGTTCTAAGGGTTTTATATAGTTAGCTGTCATATTTAGGTCTATGATTATGTTTGGAGGGGTCCCCAAGATCACCCTCAAATTTAATGATTCACTAGGATGACTCATAAGACAGCATGTAGTCATACTCAACTGCTCAGTTTATAGCAGCAAAAGGATACAAGATGCATTGGGCACAGTGTAACTAGAGTCAACAATAATTTATTGTACATTTTAAAATAACAGAAAGTATAATTGGGTTGTTTATAACAAAAAGAAATGATAAATGCTTGAGATAATGGATACCCTATTTACCCTGATATGATTATTATGCATTCTATGCCTGTTTTAAAATGTCTCATATACCTCATTATTAATTTTTTTTAAGATGCATTGGTCAAAGTCTAGGGGAAACAGATACAAGCTTCAAGAGTATTGTCTCAGTGGAGTCACACTTCACTGAGCTGTGACAAGATGTTTGAAATATTGCCAACCAGGGAAGCTCATTAAAGACAGCACCCATTGTTCTTGTTGATGGCTGGTCACGTAAACAGCCTCTGTCTAGAATGTACCAAAACTCTGGACTCCCAGAAAGAAAGCAGACATTCAACATAAACCATAGTGTTTGTACAGTTTAGGCATGGTAAGCCACTGTTACTAATTCTTGGAATGGTGAGAACTCTCCCAAAATCCAAGTTTCTAAATGCCAGCCAAGGGCCAACCTTGTAAGCAAGCCTTCCAACGATAGCAGTTCTGGCCTACTACCTTAACTCTTTTCTGCATAATGGTGTTAATTTTTGTATGTAGTATAAGGTAGACAGTTCAACTTCATTCTTTTGCATGTGAATGTCACTGTTCCAGCACCATTTGTTGAAAAGGTGATATTTTTCCCTCATTTAAGTCTCTTAGCATCCTTGTTGAAAATTAATTGACCAAAATATAATGGTTTATTTCTGAACTCCCAATTCTATTCCATCAATCTACATGTCTATCCTATACCAATAGGACACAGTTTTGATAGTTTTGTACTTTTGATAGTGTTAGAGTAAATTTTGAAATCAGGAAGTACAGGTTCTCCAACTTCAGTCTTTTTTTTAATATGAATGTTAGGATCAGCTTGTCAATTTCTGCAAAAATCTCAGCTGGTATGTTGATAGAGATTGTGTTTAGTCTGTAGATCAGTTTTTGGAATATTGCCATCTTAACAATGTTAAGTCTTCTGATCCATGAACATGGGAATGTATTTCAATTTATTTAGGTCTTAATTTCTTTCAACGTGTTGCATAGTTTTCAGAGTATTTATTTTGGACTTCTTTTGTTAAATTTATTCCTACATATTTTATTCTTCTTGATGCTATTTTAAATGGAATTGTTTTCTTAATTTTAACATTGTAGATTGCTACTGTTCACAAATACAATTGGTTTTTTATTATAGTGAGACATTTAACATGGGACCTACCCTTTAAAAAAATTTTAAGTGTACAATACAGTATCATTAACTCTAGGCTTGATGTCGTACAGTAGATCTCTAGACGGTATTCTTTTTTTTTTCTTTTTTTTTTTTGTGACGGAGTCTCACTCTGTTGGCAGGCTGGAGTGTAGTGGCGCAATCTCAGCTCACCTCTGCCTCCCGGATTCAAATGATTCTTCTGACTCAGCCTCTAGAGTAGCTGGAATTACAGGCATGCACCACCATGCCCAGCTAATTTTTTTGTATTTTTAGTAGAAACGGGGTTTCACCATTTTGGCCAGGATGGTCTCGATCTCTTGACCTTGTGATCCACCCACCTCAGCCTCCCAAAGTGCTGGGATGACAGGCATGAGTCACTGCACCCGGCCTCATCTTACATAACTGCAGCTTTATACCCATTGAATAGCAAGTTCCCGTTTCCCCATCTACCCAGCCCCTGACAACTACCGTTCTACTCTCTGTATGAGTTTGGCTGTTTCAGATACATTACATAACTGGAATCGTACAGTTTGTTCTTCTGTGACTGGCTTATTTCGCATAGTATAGTGTCCTCCAGGTTCACCCACATTGTCATACTTTGCAAAATTTCATTCTTTTTTAGAGGCCGTATAATAGTCCATTTTATGTATTATACCACATTTTCTTTTGCCATTCAGTTGTTGATAGACATTTAGGTTTTTTTTCATATCTTGACTATTTTGAATAATGCTGCATTGAACATGGGCATGCAAACATCTCTTCAGGATCCTGATTTCAATTCTTTTGGATAAATATCCAGAAGTAGGATTGCTAAATCATACGGTAGTTCTATTTTTAATTTTTGAGGAACCTTCATAATGTTTTCTGTAGTGGCTGCACCATTTTACATTCCCAGCAACACTGTACAAGTGTCCTAATTTCTTTACATTCTCCCCAATACTTGTTATCTTTGTTTTGTTTTTTTTAACCATGGCCATCCTAACAGGTGTGAGGTGATAGCTCATCGTGGTTTGATTTGCATTTCCATGATGATTAGTGATGTTGAGCATTTTTACATGTGCATGGTGGCTATTTGTATACCATTCTTTGATGAAATATCTACTCAAGTAAAATATAATTGATTTTTGTTATTGATCTTATATCATGAAACTTTACTAAACTTACTTATTAGCTATAGCTGCTTATAAGTGAATTCCTTAGAAATTTCTGTATACAAAATCATGTCGCCTGCAAATAGAGTTTTACCTCTTCCTTTCCAATCTGCATTCCCTTCATTTGTTTTCTTACTTAATCTCCCTGGCCCAAGCTTCCAGTAAAATGCTGAATAGAAGTGATGAGAGGCATTCTTGTGTTATTCTGATCTTTGGGGGGAAAGCATCAGTCTTCAACCACTCACTATGAGGTTAGCTGTGGGTTTTTGTAGGAAAAAATCTAAACTTCTATTAGATTGAGGAGGTTCCCTTCTGTTCCTAGTTTGTTGAGTATTTTTATCATGAAGGTGTGTTGAATTTTATTGTGGTTTTTTTTTTCTGCACCTATTAAGATTATGTGCTTTTTATCTTTTATTCTATTATGTAGTGTATTACATTAATTGATGTTCAGGTATTAAAACAACCTTGAATTTCTGGAATAAGTCCCACTTCATTATGTTGTATAATCCTTTTAATATATCACTGAATTTGATTTTCTGGTATTTCATTGAGGATTTTTGCATCTATATTCATAAAGGATATTGAACTGTAGTTTTCTGGTGACATCTTTGTCTGATTTTGGTATCTGAGTAATATTAGCCTCATAGAATGAGTTGGGAAGTGTTCCCTTCACTTCTCTTTTTTGGAAGAGATTGTGAAGAGCTAGTATTAAATCCTCTTTAAATGTTTTGTACAATTAGTCAGTTAAGCCATTTGTGCATGGGCTTTACTACTCTGTGAGAATATTTGTTTGTTTGTTTGTTTGTTTGAGACAGGGTCTAACTATATCACTCAAGCTAGTCTCAAACTCCTAGGCTCATGCAATTCTTCCACCTCAGCCTACCGAGTAGCTGGAAATACAGACACGAGCCATATGCCCATGCACCACGAGCCAAGCACCCATACTTTGTAGGAAGTTTTGTACTTACTAATTTGATATATTTGTTTGTTACAGGTCTATTAAGATGTTCTGTTTCTTTTTGAGTTGGTTTGGGTAGTTTGTCACTTTGTCAGCATATGGCTGTGGATGGTATGTCCTTATAATTCTTTTTCTTTCTGAAGGTCAAAATTGATGTCTTTATTTCCTCTTTTTTTCTTGGTCCTTCTAGCTAATGGTTTATCTACTTTGTTGATATTTTAATAGGAAAAAATTGGGGGTTCATAGATTTTCTTTATTGTGTTTCTAGACTCTATTTCATTTCTTTCCACTCTAATCCTTATGATTTCCTTCCTTCTGCTTGCTTTCAGTTTAGTGTGCTCTTCTTTCTTACTGTCTTAAAATGGAAAGTTTGGTTATTGATTTGAGATGTTTATCCTTTCTTCAATACAGGCATTTATAACATAAATTGTTTGTTAATCACTGTTTTAGCTGCATCCCATAAGTTTTGCTATGTTGTGCTTTCCTTTTCATTCATTTCGTTATTTTCTAATTTTGCTTGTGATTTTTTTCCTTAATGCATTTATTTGTTATTTAAATAAATGCATTAAGGAAATGAAGTGTGGTGTTTAATTTCCACACATTTGTAAATTTCCTAATTTCCTTCTATTACTGACTTCTAATTATGTTGTGGTTAGAGAACATACTTTGTATGATTTCAGTTTTAAATTTATTATGGTTTGTCTTATGGCCCATGAGAGTAACAAATTAAACTGTAGACCAACTAGAAGTTTAACAGAGATAATCAGGTAAAGAGACATCTAAGAATGTCCCACATCATCAGTGTTTTTATGGCTCTTCTCATGTATCACTAGATTGCTTTCAAAAAGGACTGTATCAGCATACGGCACTACTAGCTACGTATGTCTACTAGCTTCACTATAACTTCTTTATCTTGGCTGCTCCACTTAATATTTATTTGGTTTATATTTCTGCAGTGTATGTTTATTGTTCACTCTAAAGTTCAAAGACTTTCTCATAGAAATAGAGATAACTTTTGATTTATGTTCTTTCCTCTCCTCTTTCAAGTCACCTGGAACCTCTATGACTCCAAGTAGTGGGTCCTTTCTTAGTGCATATGATCAACAGTCATCTAAAGATAGTCGTCAAGGTCAATGGCAACGCCGAAGAAGGCTGGATGGGGCACTGAATAGAGTCCCAATTGGATTTTATCAAAAAGTATGGAAAGTTTTACAGAAGGTGAGCGTAATACATTGTTGATGTCTTATTTTTCCCCCTTGAAATTCTCAGTCTCCTTGGCTGAGATATGACATGACTGTAACGTAATCACTCCAATTATGTAAAAGTCATAAAACTCAGACAAAACCAAAAAGAAAACATATAAATGAAACTTGATTTGTTGTTGTGGCATTATTAATAATTTAGTATCTTTCTGTTATAGTTGCTGTAGTCTTGTTTCTAAATTGAACTTTTAAAATCATCACTTCTCTGCTTTTGGCCATAGTTGGATACTGTGGGATATTGTGATACATGTGCTGCTAATCAAATGAATTTGGTACTAAAGAGCTAACTTTCTTTGTAGCTGTTGAGGACTGTAAATGTTATTTGTAGCACTGTGCTATTCATAACCAAGTATCAGTAGAGTAAAACAAATACAGCACTTGGGGAGTTTGTGCAAGGAGCTCTTATATTTTTTCTTGAATAAAAACTACCAAATAAATGTAAAGTCATAAACATGGTAATATTTCAGAGACTCTTCGATGTGAGCATTGTTTCTTTTCTTCTGAAGGTCTATTTGGCCAAAGACATTTAAGAGCCTGTCACACTATTATGGTGGTGACAATTTCAGAGGGCCAAGAAGACTATTGTGCTCATACGTAGGTCTCATTCAGTCTCTTAGGTGTGGCTTTCTGCATCATTGGCTTTAATAAGGAACTGAAGATCACTTCGTCCAGGACTTCAGACCCTTTAGTTATGTTTTTTTTACCCTCTGGGCACTGCTATTCTTCCAAGGACAGAATCAGGTGATCTCTTGGAAAGGTGAAAGTTGATTCCTCAGACTATGGGCTCTGGCAGTCTTCCTTTTGAAGAGTACCAAGAACTTGCTTTTTTTGCAGCTAACTTCTATAGCACAGTGGTGACAAATATTATTTTATCTCTTCAGTTATGCATGGATTATGGCAATGCTCTATGTGCTTATACAGCAAAGAACAACAGATAGTAATCTTCATCCTCTTGGAACTTATATTCTACTAGGGAGAAACAAATGATAAATAATAAACAGTAAATAAGTGAAGTATCTAGAATGTTAAAAGATGATAAGTATTATGGAAAAAACAGAGCAGGATAAGAGTATTTATGGGGGGATGGGACATTTAACTAGAAAATGTAGTAATGATACACACCTGATAAACGCATGTCTTGATTTCATTTTCAAATTAAGACTTCATGGCCGGGCGCGGTGGCTCAAGCCTGTAATCCCAGCACTTTGGGAGGCCGAGGCGGGTGGATCACGAGGTCAAGAGATCGAGACCATCCTGGTCAACATGGTGAAACCCC